AAACCAAATATCCCCAAAACATAATCTGTTTTCAGTAAAAATGTGTCTGCCTCAGAATTTAATTTCCTTTTCATCTTCATAAAGTAAAACAACACAGTGTAAAAACATTTTATCTAGTTGTATCTGCTGTTGCCAACTTTGCGGTCACCTCCATCAAAATTGGTCCCCTGGCTTTGGACGCAGCTCAAACACCTAGACTATGTTATTGCTCCACTTCAGGGAGAATCATCTGGCAAAATCACCCTGGTATCGATCAGCGTTGGGTGAGCCATGACCCACCAACTCTTCTCTGACAGTCCATCAGCCTGTGGCAACAGCAAATCTTTCAACCCCTTATAAAAACAAACAAAAAATAATAATAAAGAAACGCCGTCCTACTCTGTTATTTTTTGTTAATCCCCTGTAAAGTATTCTTCAGCCAACAAAGTCGAACTCTTCTATTTAAATAAAATGTAGACCTTGGTGCTGATATTAATCTTTTAACTGTAAGTCTGCTGATTATTATTGTGTTGTGAGTTATTTTCGTTATTACTTCAGGTTCATTTTCACTCCTAATGTTACTAATCCTCATGTAAACAACAAACCAAAACAGCTTCTTACTAAAATCTTAAGGCTGCGCAGGTTGGTGCTAGCTGCTGTGTGTGACTGACAGAGAGGAAAAAGCAGGATGTTTGAATGGCTGACAGGCCGACCGTTGAATGACAGGAAGTATACAACATGTCAGGCTGCCTGCAGAGACGTGTTTGGAAGGTCTGACGTCAGAGACTCGACAGACGTCAACAGAGATGTTGTATCTCTTCAGTCTGATCCATATGTGTTGATAGAATGGCTTGTTAGGCAGATTTTAATCATTGATACCTAAAAGTATGATTTTTTTCTTCATTCACACTGCTGATATAAATGCAGTGTGTGTTGAATTTGTTCAATATAAATGATAATGCAGCATAAGGTGTGTGTATTGGAATGAACCTTCACGTTTAGAGATTAGGTCTTAGGGTTAGTAGGGAACTAACTGTCGGTCACTCATGGTCTCCACACATATGTGGCATTTTTTATCATCGATATTCCTCCGTTTCATTTTACAAATTGTGATCTTGGAATTTACTTGGCTCGCAGTAAAGTACTTCCGGGGTAATGACACCTCACTGCCAATTCCATTCACTGACCGCTGCATCTCTTGTATTAAAAATAATTTAGCAGTTTTCATATTCTGAAACCAAATATCCCCAAAACATAATCTACAACAAATTGCAAATTCACTGCTAAGAAGCTATAACTTACCTTTAAAGGACACATGCAAACCACTAATGTTGCCTGTAATCGTAAACGATCCATTTGCCCCACCCTTCCTCCATGTCGCAATTGTGCAACTCACAAAACGACAAACATGTGACCTGACGCTGATCAATCATGTTCTTGGTCACATATGGGACTTATAATTAGAAGAAAAGCAAAGATAAGTCAGAACACACACATCTATCCACACACTGAAAAGAAGGACGAACGATCACAACGAAGGGGTTTGGCTGTGTTCACTAATGATGTCGTTAATTAAAAAAAAAAAGGCGACTGTGAAGGTTTAATCACCACGACAGGATTCAATAACAAAAAAGAGGAGAGTATTAATCAGCAGAGTGATGACTTGACTCTTCATCTGTGTGACATTGAAAGGAAGGGATGAATTAATGACGCTCTCTATTCCAACACATTAAATAATAATTATCAGGCAAAACAGCATGAAAGGGACTCCATAATGAAGACCATTGTCAGGTCAATTACAAGCACATAAAGCTGTTCAAAGGGAACTCGCCTGTTTCCAGATAGTGACACTGAAGAGGAGGGAGGAGCAGGAGGAAGAAGGAGGGAGGCAGGTTTATCTGTTTCAAGGTGCTCTGCTCAAAAGAACATCAGGATTGTTTGGTTGTTACATATATAAGCCTAGACTTTTGATGAAAAATTAAATGTCTACATAATTTAGCCAACAAAAAGAACGAGCCCATTTTAGGTCATGTTTTAAAGAACACAATTCTTCCTGATGTGTCTTTGAAGTTCCACAGAGTACTTAGAAAATAGAACAGTTACGTCTGACAAAATAATAGCAGTGACTTTTTAATGTATAGAGCGTAGCATAAAAACAGCAACACATGCAGAATATGTGCTGAGAATGATTAATTATACCAACAAGCCAGTGTGAAGTCAGCAGAGGAATTTAACTGTCCTGAACAGTGGTCGAATGACTGTGTTCAAAATCTGGTTTCTTGATACAATTTACTGCAGTTATTTCCCAGCGCTCCTCCTCGTTCACTGAACACTGAAAACTGCAGCCTGTTCCCTGGCGTGTCTCTTTTCCTGCCTGCTTCCACCCTGACACACACAGTTTTTAACAAACAGTCCAGAAACCTGCAGCTTGACACATATCAATACTAATCTGACGTCTTGTTCTGCAGTGGAGCGGCTGACTGCACCTGCCTGACTGCAGCCAGCTCCTGGTGGTTTTAGCTGAGCTCCTTTCACACCTCTCTACCCCTGCAGACGTCAAACACTTATTACTCCCCATCCTGGTCCGTGCTAAACCCACCGGCTTGTCTGGACCCCATTATTAGAGTCATTTCAGTGCCTGTTAGGCAGTTCTTGAGCTGGTTTTCTCGGACTCCCTGCCTGGTCGACTGCGTACCTGGCCAGCCGAACAGCGATTGGACATGACATGGTGACAAGAAAGAGGAGTAGGGCAGCAGGATGAAAGGAGCAGAGATGGCAGAGAGGACACAGAGTTTGCTCATCAGCGTTAGCCCAGAGCTGCCTGTCACAGTGACGGTGATAGAGAAGAGAGAATCATTTACATCCAGATCTCATGGTGACTGCAGGGTCTCAGTAAAATGCCTTTTGTTTTTACTCTCTTTGTCTGAGAGCGTATCCCTCGCTTCTCTAAAAGTCAACCGTTGTCGTTGGATCTCCAGTCATAGATGACACATTTTCCAAACCTTACTTTGTCTTAGCCAATCACAGTGAAGTGAGTAGCTTGGCATAGATGACTTAACACAGACTAGTGAGGTAGCTACTGATAGGAGGACGAAAATTAAAGGATGGATTGTTGAACACTTAATCTGTTATCTGTGATCAGGGATTAGATTCAGGGGTACATTCAAAAGAATTACTGCTTCTGGTCATGTATCGGTTTTCTTTGTTTGCTTGAATTGGTTTTTTATTTTCTTTTTTTTTCAAATACAATACAACAAGTAAAGATAATGACACACAAACATTAAATATTGTAAACTAGGTTTGTTGTTAGCCGGGATTTTCATTGAGTTAATATTTAGGTTTGTTACATTGTTAGGTTTGTGACTTGTTAAACCATAAATACTAGTATTTTTTTGAATTTAGGAAGTGAACTAACAATTGTGGATGTGGATTTTTAGTCTCTTTTTAAGACAATGTCTGTCAGGTACCATTAGGTCAAAATGATGGTGTCTCAGGAGGTGGAGCTGACACCTCCTCTGTTCAAATGTGGAGACAAGAGTGTCAAGAACAGAGAGAGATGAAGGTACGAGCCGATGATTAACAGCAGATCTGTGTCTCCTCCTGCTGAGAAATGATCTGGCCTCTTTCCTCCCTTCATGTCTTTTTTTTTTAACATCACTTCATTTCTTCCTCCCCCTCCTCTCTCATCCTCCTCCCTTATCTCCTCTCCTCTCTCCCCTGACACGCTCGGACTGTCCTCAGCCCTCCTGCACATCCCCTGACAGCCAGAATAATAACGCTCGTACATCACCACCCTGAAAAGTCCAATAACCTAAATCTTCACTTGCCACACACCCCGGGACTCAATTACTTTATTGACATGTAATCTTCATAAGGGGAGAAATATTGAGCGTGTAAGGTCAGCTGGTTAT